ATTTGGCAGTCTCCAGAAATGTACAAAGAGGTTTTCAGAATGAGCCTATGTTGGGATTCTATGGTATTACACAAATCGCCCCAGTGGAGAACTATTGAAATTTCAAAACATTTCAAAGCAGTAATGATGTATTAAAGCCTTATTTATCATTTTGATGCATGTTCCAAGACCACTGATTGGAAACAAATGTTTAACAAAGGTTTCGAAGCTTAAAGCAGTGCTCCAAAAGCTGCCATCACTACCTAATATTAACAAACATTCACACTATCTGTTTCAGTCTGAATTAATAGATTTAGTTAGTTTACTCTAATTGGCACGGTTGTATGAAACATTAATTTGGAGTAGACTAAATAAAAATGACCAGGATATTATACTTTACCCAACTTATAAAAAAAAAAAAAAAAAAACTCTCATTATGCTCGTGGACTTGCAAATTTGACAAAGCCAATCAAGACTTTGGTTTTAAAATCAAACATATATTTGTATTCTTGCAGTTTTTTATGATTAAGGCCGCAATACCACCCACATCTAAAGAGCCTCTTTTTAACTTTAGAGTCCAATTATGAAAATATCTGAACTCAGCAGGGATTCTGATGCATTTGAATCTGAGGGAAACAAGTCTGTCTATGAAATTACCAATTCCCACGAGACAAGTAATCGTAATTCCTGAATTATCATAGCATTAAAATGGCTTTCCAGACAAGACCGAATTCTTTGTTGTCTTGGAAATAATGAATACTTCAGGGAGCAGGAAAATATAAAACTGCTACAATATGCAAGAAATATTATTCTGACCTTACTTTTATGTTCCCGACAACAAATAAGCTATGAACTAAACTGGTGCAGAAAAGCCTTTTCTGACTGAAGATGTAATGAGTCATTAGAAAGCACTTTGTAAATTCCTGTTATGTTGCAAAAATGGCCCAATAAATATTCCACCGCTGCCATGTTTAATCCCAGCGATACTAGAGGATTACTGGTGAAATGATTTAACCAACAGTCTCAGAAGGCTTTTATATGAATACATCAATAAGTGTGCACACTTATGCATAATTAAATATGGTACATCAAAATGTGTCCCATCAACGTGCGAACCCTTCGGTTTGATCTGCATGTTTAATTATCCCAACTATAATAGCATATCAAGTGGGAGAGGCCGTCTGAATGTATCGAGATAATTAAGCACTCAATAACTCCCAGGGAAAACAGGATTCCATAGCTGTTTTGATTAAATGCGCACTTCATATGTGCGGCTCGAATAAAAGCTCTGTTTCAGTCTAATTGGATTATTCTTTTTGCTCACTTGTGTCAGTGCTGGTGTAAGAAATGAATCCTTTTGTATCGGAATATTTGTGTTGTGATCTCCGCATATTCCTTTTCTCCCTCCTTGCCGTCTCACTCCCCCAATCCAGCTATTATCCATCTAAGTTTCAAGCATGAAATCCTCCATCTAAAGTCACTCATTTTGTCTTTGTACAGCTCCAACTTTGATTCGTCTAGCACTTGATCATTGTCTTCCACTTATTTTTTCTTGCAAATGCTTTTCTCTCTCATTACAGCGAGCGCAAACCTCCAATGCCGAGGTGAATTATTGAGTGAACGTGGCCTGTCAAAAAGGAAAAACAAGTAAAAGCTTTTGCTAACCGAGAGCTCATTCGATTGTTCTTCGCTCGAGAGCCTTTAGCTTCCTGCCGAAATTACAATCTTTCATCACTAAAGCAGCTTCAGTCAATTCAGCGCACCTGCTCTAGTCCACATCCTCTTGAATGGGGTCGTTACAAGGAGTACAGAAGCATCAAAACCATAAAGCATAATGTGAATGCAATGTCCTTGGGTAAAGCCATAGGAAAGTTGGATGCACTCCTTGACTAGCATATGGTATATGCCAATGGCAAGCTGTTTTAACATCTAGTCTATAAACAGCACTAGTAGCCATGTTCTAGCAGTTAGTACCTATTTATATTTTCATAAATAGCTAACAAGAACATAAATAGAACATACTTGTAGCCTACTCATTTATTTGATGCTAGTTATTATTAGACACAAATGCTTATTATTTATAGGGGTGTGATGAACGCTTACTCCACAAGACGAGACACATGATTAGGTTCACGAGATGAGATTTTCACACTACTTTAACGAAATTCTCAAAAATTAAATAAATGTCTTTTAATAACTAGAAAAAAACTCACAAAATGCAAAACTATTTAGGTGATTTATTTAAATCAACTTGAAGTGAATGTTATTTTATTTTAATGAATCATATGCCGCATGTGATGCGGCTGGGATGAGAATCAGCACCTCTAAGTCCAAGGCCATGGTGCTCCACCAGAAAAAAAATTGGTTTGCCATGTCCAGGTTAGAGGAAAGTCCTTACCCCAGGTGGAGGAGTTCAAGTATCGTGGGGTTTTGAGCGAGGGAAGGATGAAACGTGAGATTAACAGGTGGATCGGTGCAGTGGCAGCAGCATTGGTCAATGTCCTTTGTAGTAAAGAAGGAGGTGAGCCAAAAGGCAAAGCTCCCGATTTACCGGTCAATCTACGTTCCTACTCTCACCTATGGTTATGAGCTTTGGGTCACGACAGAAAGGACAAGATCTTGGATACAAGCAGCCGAAATGAGTTTCTTTTGCAGGGTGGCAGGGCACCCTTTTAGAGGAGCTCTGTCACTCGGGAGGAGCTCGGAATAGAGCCGCTGCTCCTCCACGCTGAGAGAAGTCAGCTGAGGTGGCTCATGCATCTGTTTCCGATGCCTTCTGGATGCCTACCTAGGGAGGTGTTCCAGCCATGTCCCGCTGGGAGGAGGCCTCAGAGGAGACCCAGGACATGGTTGAGGCCTTACATCTCTTGGCTGGACTAGGAATGCTTCGGGATCCCACCAGATGAGCTGGAGAAAGTGTCTGGGCAGAGAAAAATAGGGTTCTCTTCTGAGACTGCTGCCTCTGCGACCTGGCCCCGAAAAAGTGTTTGAAAATGAATGAATGAATTCTATGGAGTAAAGCACATGCAAACACTACAAAATATTTAGCTATAAACTAATGATTGGCTTCTCTCCTGGAACTAATTTCCACAAATTTAACTTAAAAAATGTATGTTATTTTTTCCATGCAACTAAAATAGGATGTCCAAATGTCTTAACTCGAATTGTATGACTTTCAGCATATCTAAAGTGATATTTCATTGGGTAATGTCCATGGTTAATTTGTATGGCAGCAGTTGTAGCAGCCTCCGCTTCGACAGCCTTTTAACACCAGTGGAAAAAAATGGTTTAGTCACACCAGCCCAAGCAACCAAGTGACGCAAACAACACCGAGGCCCACCTGGATTGCCAGGTGTGTGCAAACCACTTAATTTGTGGTTCAAATCCAATCCTGCTTGTACTTAGATGTACTAAGCTGTAAAGGTCCTTGTTTTTTTTTTTGTATGTTTAGTTTTGTTCAGTTCCATATTTTCATTCATCATGCCCAGTCATTTGAATCTCCCCTTGTCAACTACGTTAGTTATTTAGTCTCCAACCCCTCATCATCTTGTTTAACCTAACTGTTTCAACCAATATTCCTTTAAGCCATTCGTTGTCTAGTGTTTTTAGCTTTACTTCTATGGATTCTGAGTGTTTCCCTGTTCTCCTTGTTTTGTTGTTTTATTTTAAATCACAATTCTGCATTTGGATCCTGCTCGCCATCATTTATTACCTTACACATCACACCTAGACATAACAAAAGGTCATTGCAAACTGAATCAAAAATTTGTGCACGTAAAAAATAAATTTGACCTCATGTTGTGTCATTGGCATTTACACACGGGTCCTCTGAAACATTCGTCATTCGACTTTGTCATAGATTGTTTTTTTGGATTGGGATGTTGGAATTGGATATTTATTCAGTTTTTTTGCATCCATAAAAATTATGTCACTTGCAGAGCATTTTATGACAATCAAAGAGTGTAAAATAAAGACAATGTGAGAACCACTGCTGTAGCATGCTGTATGCTGGTTTTAGTGCCTGGCGTGCACATTTTCAATGCAACTGTTTTCATTCTGTTTACCCAACCTCAAGTTTTTTTTTTTTCATTCTGTTGAACAATTAAGATATTTTAAAGAATGTTGTAAGGTTTTCAGCTTTCTTCAAAATATTTTCTTTATTGTTCAATAGAATAATAACAAAAACAAGTAAAGGTGAGTAAACGATAACAGAAGTTTCATTTTTGTGTAGACTATCCATTGTTTCTAATGAACAAGAACAGGTATCTAATAATAAGTATTTGGTTTCTAAACTGTGGTTTATATGAAACATTGAAACAGCTTGCTATACCATTAATCTGTCAGCTTAAGATCTATAAAGGAAATTACAAGAGATTGATAAAGTTCATAAAAAGACTGCAGCTGTCATTTTCCATTTAAACTCTGCATTTGCAGTTTGTCAGCTTGCTGAAGCATAACTCGCTTCTCAGAAGCCCCAGAATTAGCAACTCATCGCATCTGATCATGCTTTGTGAAGCATTCATTCTCAAACTTGAAGGAAATTGCTAGCATATGTCCTTCTTTATCTGAGGAGCAGCTCAAAGCGAGGAGAACAGCAGGTAACGCAGGGTGCGCTTTGATTGCCATGTGACAGTTACTGTTTATGACAGGCTTCTGCAGAGCTTCTCCATCAATAAAGGACAAACACATCGATCAGTCATCCTCCCCTCAGCTTTTAAATCCAAAGCCACCCCTCCTAGAGTGCTCAGCAAGTGACTTCTGACACAATCGTATATTGATTACAGTGGAATAATGGAGGAGTCCTATTTTAATGCACCTGCTCTCTCTCTCTCTCTTTGTGTCTCTGCTCTTTTGTCATAAGAGTCTTATGATTCATCATCTCAGTCACAAGGCTTTCATCTCCACTGGCTGCTTCTGCTAATTAAAATATCCTCCCTTTTTTTTTCTTCGCCGCTTTCCTTTATTGCCACTGGTGAGAGTTGATTGTGTCGGCTTCTTGAAGTCAGAAAATCAGTCGGGAATCTTTTAAGTATTTTTTATTTTGTCGTGCTTGGTATCTTTCCCCTATAAAGATGTACAGTTAGCTATATCAACAGCGACGCAAAGACTATAAAATAAACAGGAAGTGAAAGACAAAGAGGAGACGGACGAAGAGGGAGAAAGACACAAAGAGGATCAGAGAAAAGTGGAGGAGAGAGAAAAGTGGGTATACACGGCTGTTTCTACTGGTAGAACTAAAGCATGGGAAGTATACAATTTATAACATTTACAATTATAATAACAGTAAGAATAATAATAACAATAACAACGATCATAATAGTCCAAATAATAATTAATCAAAACAATTAAGACCTCTGATATCTTTTAAAGACAAACAAAATAGATATTTTTTTTTTTTAATTTTGCAAGTTTTTTTTTAAAGATGACGTAACAGTAGTTTGTTCAGTTTTGCACCTCTAAGCTAATATTCTGTGTTAGTACGGTAGCATCGCTCGGTAATGCGCGCAAAAGTTTTTTTTTTTTTTCTTAAAAGAGTCATTTAACTTACTTTGTAGACTTTTTCATACAAATAATGACTTTAGAGATATGTTTCATTGTGTGTTTCTGTGTGGAGCAATCAAAAAACAAAACAAAAAAATGTAATTTCCGACATGTTCTCGACAAACTGTCTTTTTTTCTCACCCAAGTCGCGGTTCCACGTTTCCAATGACTTTGCGATAATTAAGCCCCCTTTTTTACAGCGTTGAAGCAAGCGGTCTGCTTCAATTCATTCGGCTCATAAAAGAGAACATGTCTAATCCCTTAATTATTAACAAACAATAGTGGAGAGATAGAGGAGGGAGAGGAAGGAGCGCTGGAGAGAGTCACCGAGAGAGGATCAAAAACGAGAGGAACTTTTCTTCACAAGTCAACAGGTTTTGGCCAGCGTGAGCAGATAATGGAGTTGCTGGATGAAAAGCGCAGATAAATACTTTATGAGGACGGCTCTGAGCTCTCAGCGCTGTTGTTGGTGGATTTATTCTCTACCGGCTCAGTCTCTGAGGCCCAGTGCTGCATAAAAATGCAGAAGATTTCAATTTGCTCACTTTGAGACATTCAATACCTCATAAGCCATAGAGGCACTGTTTAGAAATGGACACTTTTCTCTCTTGGTCCTGCAATTACAGTTTAGTTGTCACAACTAAAAAAAGAGAGTGACCATGATGGTGTTTTTCAGTCAGAATAATTGTTCTCTCCTTTCATCTCTCTCGCTCCTCCATTAATATCTCCGTCCTCTCCTTCCCACTCCATCTTCCTTCATATGGCACGATTGTGATTCCCTCTGGTTGTTGTAGTAGTGGTGTGTAGGTCTGTTTGGGAACAGTGTGTGTTGCGGTGTGCAGTCTGCAGCGGTCCAGTGTTTCTCAAGAATTCCACCACGGCAGCGCTACAGTAGGTACTCCTTCTTGCCCTGGCTGGCATCATTTCCGTTGAGGAAGGCCTCCTGAACCTCGCCATGTTCGTCCAAACCACTGGCCTCATGAGTCAAATAAGAACCTATAGAGAGGGACATGCACAAATGAATGAGAATTAGGTTCATACTTTAGAATTTAAAAAAAAAATTAAAATTAAAGCACTAGATGAGTATTTAAATTGCAGTTTGACATTTTCAACTAAAACACAAACCTGAACAGGGCATATTAAAGAGAATGTGCTTCTGTTGTGCTTCTTTGATATTTACATTAACAGTTCTTTTATATGTAAAACACACATAGTGTTGGTTGGTTCTCATTTACACCAGAGATTGTATTTTTTAGAGATGGTAAGAGATTTTAGAGATGGTATTAGCCTGGTGATGAGTGGTGCCTGTTTTTTTTGTTCAAACGTAATGCCTGGCATTCAATCCAAAGAGTTCAATTTTAGATCAGAGAATTTTATTTCTTATTGTCTGAGAGTCCTTCAGATGCCTTTTGGCAAATTCCAGGCAGGGAGTGACTTCCGTCTATTCACTCTACCATGCAGGCCTGATTGGTGGATTGCTGCACAGATGGTTGTCCTTCTGTAAAGTTGTCCTCTCTCCACAGAAGAACGCTGTAGCGCACTAGCTCATTCCTTTGTCTTCATGCTTGCTTTGTGATTTGACATGCAAAGTCAACCCTGGGACCTTATATAGACAAGTGTATGCCTTTTTAAATAATGGTTAGTCAACTGAATTTACCACAGGTGAACTCCAATTAAGCTGCTGAAACATCTCAAGAATGATCAGTGGAAACCGAATGTGCCTGAGCTCAATTTGGAGCTTAATGGGCAAAGGCTGTGAATACTTTTGAACATGTGAATTTTCAGGTTTTTTATTTTTAATAAATTTGCAACAATCTTTTCACATTGTCATTATGGGGTATCGTGTGTAGAATTTTAGGGAAATAAATAAACTTAATCCATTTTTGGAAGAAGGCTGTAACCAAAAAAAAAAAAAAAAAAGTGGAAAAAGTAAAGTGCTATATATACTTTCCGGATGCACTGTATCCATCCGTACAGTGTAAATGTAAATTGATGCATCTCTTAAAGGCAGGATTAAAAAATTGTTGGGCACGATGAATATTTCAAGTTTTATATGAGAATTGTGTCCTTAATCAGGTGGAAAGGATTCTGAATGTTCAAACTCTTTTTTTATAAATTCCACCTAATGAACTACTTCCCTCTGGTGGAAAGTCCTTAAGTGTAGGTTGAACCAATATAAGAAATTCTTTGAACCCATTTCAGTGGGTTTATTTCACAAGAGTTTATCTTTATTAGCATTATAATTATTGTAACTACTGTATTTTGTATTGTTTTTATTCTTTGTTTTTATGGAATGTCTGCAGCAATATGGTGATGCCCATAACGAATTTGCTGTCAAGGACAATAAAGTTACTACTACTACTATTAAAGGTCCCATGAAATTAAAATAATGTTTTTAGATGTTTGTATTAGTATGTTAGTCTTTAAGTATGCATCAAAACATTGACAAAACTCAGTTCCAAAAGGGCCGCAGCTCTGCACAGTTTAGTTATAACCCTAATTAAACACACCTGATCAAACTAATTGAGTTCTTCAGGCTTGTTTGAAACCTACAGGTAAGTGTGTTGGAGCAGGGTTGGAACTAAACTGTGCAGGGCTTCGGCCCTCCAGGAATTGAGTTTGACACCCCTGATCTAAATGAATGAACAGTTTTATTTAGGTTGCTTCATACTTCGGTTTCTCATCAAAATAAGACCTGTCAAATGCTCTCTAGAATCATACATGGCCTGCCCCCTTCAAGACGCTTCACATTTGAGGCACTTGAGCTAAACCACTCTCACTGGCAGCCTAGAGATAAAACAAAAATGCTATTGGCAGTTTTTTTTTTTTTTTTTTAAAGAGAAGCTACAATGTCCTGCCATCTCTTCATGTTTCAATTGAGATTATGGCAAACATCGAATAAAAATGCACATTTCAGAACACTTCACAGCACCTTTAAAGTCCCCATGAACCGGAAGCTACAACTTTTATTTTGTTCGTATTGTGATGCAGTACCTAGAGAAACAAAATATTATACGACAAAACAATAGTCATTGCTTGTTTTTGACTGCAAGTTGAATAGATGTAGTAGGCAATTCATTCAGAAAGATTGGAGAAAGTGTTTGGGGAGAGTTAACAGACTCCTACACACCATTCTATTTGTTGTCAAAACTGACAGTTGGAGCAGTGTGATTAAATATGTTAGCCACGCCCATTTGCTAACATATACGTAATCTGACAATTTAACTGAAAAAAATTAAACAGGAAGTGCATTTTTTAAGATTTCAATTAAAGATCAGAAGGGCTAACATTTTTTTTTCTTAATGACATGCACAAATGAATTGTTCACCACAAAAATAGCAATGTTAGCTAACAAAACCATATGGTAAGTTTGGATTTCTTGAGGACTTAAAAGAAAATAGCTGTGTCCCAATTTGCATGCTCTCCATTCTAAGTAGTATTCAAAAATAGAATTAGTATGTCGCAAACTAGTATGTTGAAATGAGTGTGCCAAAGAGTATGTTTAGAAGTGCAGAACCGTCCGTATACTCTATAACCGGTAAAATTGCCCACAATACTTTGTGTGTTGAACGTGATTTGATTAGAACTACAAACCCAAGGGAAAAAGTGTAAACAAACTACAAACATGGTGGAAGCACGAGACCAACTGTCAAGTAGAGAAGCTTTTGTAAAAGTTGTTTGAATGATTATTAATTAATATTATGCCAACTGGAAAATATTTAAATCACAGTTTCTGTCTTATATTTCATCTGCAACAACAATGTAAACTTATATAAAGATGTGTTTGGACAATAACTTCTAAATGTTTAATTATTCAAAGATCTGAGGAGATTTCTCTGCATGAAAGACTAGCGAATGGCCAATTAACCTGCTGCTTCTCCAATAAGGTAGGTAATTAAAAATAGAAGAAATGTAAATAATGCGTTGAGATGATTGCCAGGGGTCAGCAAATGTGTTTTTGTCCACAGAAAATGAGAATTTACCTATTCTTGTCTTAATTATTACATATTGCTGTTTTTATTTTCAACCAATAAGAGGCTAGACTGGGGCTGAGGTTTTTTAATAATATTTATAATCTGTGAATTTCTAGTTTTTTAATGGCAGTTTCACATTCTCTGAAATACAAAGCTGAAGCAGGGCATATTGAAGAGAATGTGCTTCTATTCAAGGTCCCATAAAATTAAAATAAAGTTTTTTTGATTTTCAACCAATAAGAGGCTAGGCTGAGGCTAGCTGAGGTGTTTTAGCAATATTTATAGTCTGCGACTTTCCTACTGACTTTACATCAGCACTGTGAGGCATTCCCAGCTGAAACAGTATATCAAAATGAGAGTGGAGTTTTATTTCAGTGCTGGCCATCTCTCGATTACAACACTCAGACAGCAGTGCTTAACGATATTCTGTTTAAGCTGTCAAACTGACATCATCAGAGATGGAATGCAATTTCAGAGTGGAAGCAATTTCAGAATTTGATGAAGACATACATACTTTTTTCTGTGTTTTTTTTTGCAATTTATACCTACTAAAATGGATTTTGAAGAGTTAATAACAATTTGAAACTAACAACAGACCAATATGATAATTTGCATTAAAGTTTTTCTCAGTCACTTTGGTGCGTTTCTCACAACACTATTTACATTTGCACAACAGTTAATGCATTTCTCAAAACAATTAGTAAAAACTGTAAAACCTAGTTGATAACCCGCAAAAGCGTGTCACTTTCTCAAAATGGAGAGCTCATTCCTGTATTCATGTCAATGAAAGTGTCAGTGTCATCAAGATGAAAAGTCCTGACACCATTGTTTATGAACAAGATAGTCAGATGGCTTTGTCATGTTTTTGTTATGACGATATACTCTGTTAATTTTTTCCAATGCAATTTTGGTGACACTTCCTGAAAATGATCAAGACAGCGCTGTATACTATTTGCACAGCCATTTGAAAACTACAGTAAAGTTAGACATCACTGCATTTAGTGAGGTATCTAAGTACAAGACACTGAATATGTATATTTCGCATTTTAACTGTATATGCTCTTTGCAATTCAAATTTATTCACAGCATTGTGCAAAAGAATAAATACACCCTTATTTACAACAAACAGAAACTTCCTTTGGGTAGAGCTGTGCACAACTGTAGACAACATTGCAGTATATATTGGAACTGAACCTACAAAACACATATGTCTGTAAATTATTCATAAACTTGTTAATTTTTTTTAAGAAAAACGATTTAATAATTTTTAAAATAAAATTTGCTTAACAGATTTTGTCAACTAGTTCAACATTTTTGTATGTAGTGACTCAAGTAATGAAATGAGGACTATTAGTAAGAATGACTATTAGCATTCACAAGTTTAGTTCATTTTGACTGACATGGCATGATAATAATAGCAAATGATAATAAAAATAATTATTATAATAATGATAATAGCGACATTTGCAATTTGTTGGAAAGAATGAGAAACTGCTACTATGATGTGCACTACTGACTAATTGTTCTGAGAAATGCATTAAGTGTTGTGCAAATGTAAATAGTGTTGGGAAAAATGCGACTGAGAAAAACTGTAAATAAAAATAAATAAATTATAATAAAGCACATACAATTATTCTAATCAATAAGCCACAGTAAACTATTAATGTAAAATTGTAATTTTACCTAAAATGTTTTTTTTTTTTTAAAGTGCTATTCAAATTAGGGTTGGGCGATGTCAATTTGTCGTAGGCGGCGGTGAATTAATTATTTATGAATAATTAATTAACTCATAACCAATAAATGATTTGTAGCCTACCGTTTCAACTACCTGACCCGCACTGTCTTTGTTATAACCAAATCATAAATAAATAAAGAGAAGTTACACACAAATTACCACCTGCCAATCACTTTTCCCGCAGGACTGGCAAAAAATCGTTGATAAACTATCCGACTGCTGGAGCTCAGACGCGCATGTACGCTGCAGCACATGACAGTGTGTGTGTGGGGTCACGTAATGCGTTT